CTAGTTTAACCTGAAGTTCATTCATTCACTCAATTATTCATCCATCTGCCTGTCTAACAAATATTTACTGAGTTCCTACTGGGTACTGAGGATACAAAGTTGAATAAGACATTGTAGAGAAGCGGTAGAGGGTTGAAAATTTTTAATCTCAGACCAGAATATTCTAGGCATTGGTATGGTTTAAAATCTTTCCAATAGAGTTCAATGCACAGCCAAACTGAGGCTCACTAGAATTTCTAGACCTGGAAGCTAGAGGACTATATCAGCGTTAACAGTCCAGACAGGAGGCCTAGGGAGAAACCAAACAAAAACAGCTTGCCAAGTAGGTGTTGAGGAGTGGTGCTAAGAAAATTGGGAAGCTGCTTGTTACAGAGAAAGGAAAGTAATGGAGCAGATCAATTTTTGGTGGAATTTTTAGTATTTGGTTTTTAGTTTTGGGTGATTGTTTTTGTTTTTGTTTTTTATTGTTTTGTTTTCAGATAGAGTCTAGTTATATAGTTAAGGCTTACTTTGAGCTTAGTATGCAATCCTCCTGCCTCAGCCTTCAGAGAGCTGGGATTATATAAGCATTTACCACCATGCCTGGCTATCTTTAGGTGATTCTTGAAAAGTCATTTAACCTTGTGAGCCTCTGCTTCCTCATTTTATAAATGAGAATAAAGATCTTCATACCCCAGGATTGCTGTGCAACAGATTTTAGTGGATTTTATTATTATTTAGAAATCGGAGGACATTAGGAACCAGCAGATGGATGATTTACAGGCCAGTGTGGATCCTAAGGGATTCTACATCACTTCAAAAATTGAGGACAATATTATCATTGTTTTTATCTTAAAACTAACATAAATATGCTGTTAACTAGAACGGAAGTTTCCATCAATCCATTAGCTACAGTAAAAACTAACCACATGTTTTGGAGGTCACTGGAGATAGTGCTCAGGCCTTCCTGGGGGATTTCATTCTTCTCTATCATTGCGGGGGTGGAGGGGTGTCCCTGGCAATCAGGTGGGAGCACAACTTTAAGCATCAGGGAAGCTCTCAACATTCAAATGAGTTAAAGCACAGACACTGTGTGGTTGGGACACAGTTCTTTGACCACCAATGGCACCTTCCCCTCATGATCCACTGTGCACATCAGCAAACACATATATTGTGTTTCTTCTTTTTCCCCCCACTTGTAACACTGTTTTAAAGCCCTGCTTTTCTTTCCTTGACAGCGTATTTTGGAAATTGTTCATATCGGCCCATAAGGAGCTTTTTCATTTTTAAAAATGGCTTCATAGGGTTCTTTAATGTAGATGCACTATAATTTATCTAACCAATGTTTTGTTCATGGATATTTGGAATGTTTTTGGCCTTTTGCTATCTTGTAAGCTGCTGCAATGAATGACTGTATACATTGGTACTTTGCAAACATGAGCATCTTTTGCAGCATGAATTCCGGGAAGTAGAATAGCTGGGTTGAAAGGCATTTGCCTTTAGAGATTGCCCTTCATAGAGATTTCCATTGTGTGGGGCTTTAGAACTGATTCCCATTTCCACTTGTGATGTAAGATATTTCCCACACTCTCACCAACAGAGTCTACTACCCAAGTTTCAGTTCAGTCAGTGTTCTGGGTGTAGAATGAAACTTGCAGAGTTTAATGTCCATTTCTTCAGTTGTGAATGACCTCAAGCTCCTTTTCATATGCTGTAGCTTCACATGGGTTTTCTATGCTGGGAAGAGTTGGTTCATATCCTTTTTCTATTTTCAATTTCATTATTGGTTTATTCCATGTTGATTTTGAAGGATTATTTATGTATCTTGAAAAATTGGTAGTATGTCTACGGTAAATGTATTTTTTCTTTCACTTCTATCCTTTGCATTTGACTGATTTTTCTGTAGATGGTTTCTGTGTTTTATGTGTCATAATAGAAAAATCTTATCTGATCTGATATTGAATAACTAGTTCATAGTTTTCTGTATCACTTGCAATTTGCCATTCTTTCCTTTTACATTAAAATTTCTGCACACTTTCAAGTTTGCTGTGGCATGACCTGTGAGGTATTTTTAGATGGTCATCCAGTCATCCTAAGGCCTTCAGCTGAATAAGCTATCTTTCCACCACTGATTTGGATGCCTCCTTTATCATATATTAAAGCTCTATCATATAATAAATTTCCATATGCCCTTCCTTCTACTTTTGGACTTTCTATTTTTGTCCATTAACCTCTGTCTATTCAAGCATCAGCACTACCACTTTAAATCACTATAGTTTGATAGTAAGCTTTAATTTATAACTTGGAAAAAATATGGAAATCATTCTTTTTTCAGAATTTTCTTGGCTACTCTTATTTCTCCAATTAAACCTTAGGACCAACTAACTTAGTTCTAAATTATAATATTTTATGAGTATCATGTCAATTCCTAGAGAGGGACTGACAGCTTCCTGCAACCTTTACAGTTCAATGGTCCTCACCCATCATTGTGACCCAGTATCAGCAGGCCTACAAAGAGGGGCAGCCAGAAAGCTTGAGCTGAAAGTGGCTCTGTCCAAAGGAGCAGAGCGGAACACCTCTTCTTCTGCAGAAACAGGGAAAAGGCAGAGGAAGGCTGCTCACTGCAGTGACCGAATAAGAAGCGCACCTGATGAGTCCTTCTAGGATATGTTTACTTAAAGGAATCTTAAAGGTCTTGACAGAGTCATAGACTACCATAAGAGAGACAAACCAATTCCTGGGATCTTAACCTGTTAGTCATTAAAAGCTTGATTTGTGTTTTCTTCGGAGACAGTCAGGGACTTAAAAGCTCTTTTTATTAAACAAACAAACAAACCCCAACAGGAACACAGTGACTCTTCACTTGGAGGGATACATGGGATGGCCCCATAGGTAACTAAAAGCAAAACAAAGCCTGATCTTCACTTTATATCTCCTTTATTAACTTACAGCTTTGGGTCAGAGCGTTGCTCAGCTCTGCACATAGACATGCAGATCATCAGGGCATGCTGTCCACCAGTTGGTGAAACAAGGGTGATTAGCTGTGAATATCTATGACCTATCTGATCCCTTTCAAGACTGAGGCTACTTAAATAAAAGACTTACTTGGACATTCAACTACCAAGGAACTTCCAGATGTCTCCAGTCACTGTTTTAAACTCACAGTTATTTTAGAATCCAGCGAAGCTTCCACATAACAGACAGTTTCAGTTATCTCCTGGAGACCAAATTGTCTCCTCAAGCAAGGATTTCGTCTTGCAAAACCAAAACTGAGATGATGAGCAACCAGACTTTAGCCTGCCTTGGCTAATCCATAAAGGCTGTGGTGTCTTTCTCTTCCTTCTCCTGCTTATCCTCCTTCTTGGTACTGGGGATTGAACCTAGGGCCTTTGCACTGAACCATATCCACAGTCTTTTATTTGTTTTTAAAATTTTGAGACAGGGTGTCATTAATCACTACATTGTTCAGGCTAGGCTACATCTTGAGATTCTCTGGTCTTAACCTCCCAGAGTGCTGGAATTACAGGTACCATTATGTTTGACTCTCCTTTGTGAATGACCAGTCTGACCTTCTTTATCAGAGCTTCACTCCTATTAGCTACTCAAGCTGAAGTTCCTGCCTCATTTTCTGTTATTTTCTGACTCTGCCTAAAAAACCTGCTTTTAGGCCTCACATTAAATCCTGAAATTCTTTTCCTGTGGCAATGAGTCAAGAATCTATTTCATGGGACGAAATGAAGCTCTCATCTCCTTTTTGTCCGAAATCAAAGTTCAGTGACTTCATAATATTTCTCGAGACTCCCAAATCTGTACTGTGACTCACTGAAGTTCCTGCACTATGCTTCTTCTTTTTCTTTTGTCTTTTTTCATTTTTATCGGTACCAGGGATCAAACTCACGACCGCCTGCTTGCAAGGCAGGTGCTTATGCCGCTGAGCTAAATCCCCAGCCCCCTCACTATGCTTCTCACTCGTAGGGTTTCTGTTTCTGTACCATCCTGAAATGGAGATTTGTAAATGAAAACAAACAATCTTGATCCTTTAAACAATGCTGAGAACTTTTCCTGCCCAGGATTTTTAATAAATCTCAGTTAGAAAAACCAAAAAATAAAAGAAAATATATGAAAATAAAATCTAGTGAGAATGCCAGGAAATCATTAGAAACAAAAATTTTTTACAAGAAATCTTGTTGCATTTATTTTTGGGTTTATTCCTCTTCCTCATGACCCTGAGATTGACATTTATATCTGTATACATCTGTGCAGATGTTTACACTCATACAGACATTCACATTGTTTCATATATGTTTTATCTTCCTGTGTTATGCAAAATTTCTGGTAAACATACTTTTTTATTGCTACATAAATATCTTGTATGTTTTCCTTTTTTAAAGTGAAGAATGATTCGAGCAGATTTTATCTCCACTGACACCAGTTAGGGAGAGGAGATAAAATGTTAGAGGATGACTATTTATATATTTCCACTTAAATATCAAATAAATGGGGAAAGCAAAACATTAACCTCTGAAAGCATAGACTGATGAACGAAAGTTCACTTAGCAACTTTGTTTTTCACCACTTTTTAGAGAAAAGAGTATTTTTCAGTTACTTCTGAGTAATATGAACAACACTGTTTTACGAGGAGTCCAACAAAAACCAGAAGCAAGAGTTATGACCCTCCTTTCCTTCCTGGAACAGTGTGTTTATCCTTTTTCCAATGGGGGCAAAATTGAGTATTTTCCGTGAAGCAAAACAACCTGGACATCTAGAATGATTTGATCCAAATGGTAAATAATAAAGCAAATCAAGTCAATTAAGCAATACTTGTGGGAGAACGAATTGGGTCATGTCTGTTATTTCCCAGATAATTTCTGCTGTGTCTTTGGTGGTTGGCCACAAGATGTCACTGTGGCATCTTTAATCTAATAGTATTTAACTGGCTGGGGGTGGGGAAAGAACAGGGAAAGAAAATCTTACAGTTCCATGCAAAACAGAATAGTATTTTTTTTTTTTTTTTTTGGCAGGCAGCCATGCTAATAAAAAAATTTTAAAAACCAACACTATGAATTGAAAAGGCTTTCAAGAAACATCTGTACAGCGAAACTGTTAACACCAAAGAAGTCCAACATTGTATTTATACTGTATAAATTAAAATGGAAAATAAAAACCCATTTGGGCCAATGTGCAAAATCTCCAAAGCAGAGAAAAGTATTTCTGAAGCCAATCCATTTTCCAAAGGATGGCATTAAATATGGAGGATGTAATTGCCGAAAACAACTGAAATCTAGCATAGTGGAGCTTCAAATACATTTCCCAAACAAGTGCTGTTAACCAAATTTCCCTTCACAGAATCAAATTATATTACAAATAAACCATTTTTAAGAATGCAAGCTCTTTTGGTTTCTTGGGTAAAATGATTTTCAGAGATAACCCATACAGCCTGCACTACTCCATCTGTGGGGCACAGCTACAGGTCAGAAGAAGACGGCTGGTGTTCTGGATCATGTGTAGGTAATGACATTCTTCAGCAATTAATAAAATTGTATTTATGTATTTACATAGATGCCAAGGAAATATTTTAAAAAGAAGCTCTATGTACAGTGAGTCTTTGGGTTTGAATAGCCTTCTCTTGCATGCCTGTCCAGCTATCTATCTTTATGTGAATGTTCATAATGCATCCCTGCATCCACACGATGCTGGAGTGACTGGCATACATATGACTGACACAGTGAGTTCATAAGTGGCTAGGAACCTGACCAAAATTCCTTGCTCCGAAACCTGAAGATGAGTCAGTAAGTCTCTTTCCAGATGACTGGACAGGCAAATTCTGCAACTGTTGGGAACTATGTTTTCCATCTTGTACACCAAGATGCAGAGAAAATGCAGAGGAAGAGAAAAGAATGAAAGGTGGGGGTAACAGAGACTCATGGAAAGGAGTCTTGATGGCACCCAGGTCTTAGGTCTACATGAGTGATTGACACCCAGAGTCATTTGCTTGAGGATTCCATGAGAAAATCACATATCCTCATTGGAAGTAATCACCTTATTCAACCAAGCCGCTCTAATGACTGCAATTAATTGTAACAGAGAGAGTCTTAACTTTCACAGACTTTTCAGGATCATTTGGAGCCCAAGTCACTGTGATTTTTTTTTCCTTCTCTGTACCCAACCCTCGCCTGCTCTGTAGCCCTTTGTCCCTATCATTAATATAGACACTTAGGTTCTGGAATATTTTATTTGGTCTTTTGAATCAACTCCACTACGTGTGTGTGTGCAGGTTCTGGGTATTGAACCTAGAGCCTCTGAACTAAGGTGCATTCCAACCCCCAACCTGCCCTTAAAATTTATTTATTTTTTAAAATTTTGAGACAGGGTCTGGCTAAGTTGCTAAGTTTCCCAGGCTAAGCGCAAACTTACAACCTTCCTACCTCAGGTTCCAATTGTGCTCTGATTGCATCTGTATACCACCATGCTTGGCTCTTCTGGTTTGTTGAGAAACCTTGGGAATACTCTAGAAAATTCTCAATGAATTCTTTAAGAGATGACTTTCAGTATCCATGATCTTTGGCGGAACTGAATCTATAAATCAAGATTCCAAAATAGCAGTTCTTAAACTTTTTTCCTTAGAACAACAATCCAATTAAGAAAACAAAATATTCTGTAATAAGATAAGTTTCAGAAAAAGTGCAAAATATACCTCCCTCTTAGTGACTCACAGTTTGTGGGACAACACTAAAGGCTCTGAAAAGTTTTTTGGTAACAAAAAAATCCCTGAAATTTTTGGGCCCAGAATTTTCCAAATTTATGTGATAATAGATTTATTTTGTTTGGACAAATCCTCATTTGGCTCATTTTAGAATGTCACTTGAGATGTTTCCTTAACTTTACAACTAAACTGAATTAGAACTGGGTCTGCCTTTGGGAATTTTCATATTGAGGACGCTGAGAAAAAAATTCACTCCCTTACCTTCCAATCTCACGGCCATTAGTGAGGTGATTACAGAAGGCTGGAGAATGACCGGGCCTTCCTAAGCTGTGGGAAAGATGAACTTGTGGCCCCTTTTGTAACTTCTACATTTCCCAGCATCCTGACTTTATGGCTTCATTTTATGTCTTTTCCAAAATATAATACACTCAAAGTGTATAGATTGCTAGGTGGACAGTGATGACGCTTACAAACTGGATATACTAGAACCAACTCTGGATCAGAAACCTTACCAGCCCTCAGCAGTCTTTTCCTGCTCTCTTTGAGGCATTCCAAGCCCTCCGGTTCCAAAAGATAGCCACTGCCTAACCTCTGGTTTTTCTTCTAACCACATGGAGATTTTCTGGAAGACAGGAATCAAGACTCAATCTTTTGTATCCCTGCAGGGTATAGAATGACACTTAGCTAAGGAAAGATAGTTAATTGTGTTCTTTTATAGGCGTGCAGCACACGACAACTGCCTATCACACTAGGATAGAGGACAGAAGGGCTCTGGGGTCAGACTATCTGGTTCTGGTTCAAATCTGCCTCTATTACTTGCTACCTGTCTGACTATAGGGAGCTGCTTAATCTTGTGGACTTCAGTTTTCTTATTTGTAGATCAGAGAAGATCTATTTTATGGAAACGTTACAAGAATCAGCGAGTATTGACACACATAGTAGTAAGAGCTCACCGCCTTTGTTCTTTTTTTTTGTCTTTTTCTTTTTTATTGGTACCAAGGATCAAACTCACTACCGCACACTTGCAAGGCAGGCGCTTATGCCACTGAGCTAAATCCCCAGCCCCACCACCTTTGTTCTTGGGTGTGTCCTCATGAATGTCTGGAGTGCGCATGTGGTAGTGTGAGGGCCAGGGCCTACTAGTCGGCTGGTGCTAGTGACCCCATCAGCTCCGATCTTCTTCCTTTTAGTGCTCAGGGAACACTAGGCAAAGGGCTTTGGGGTGATTACTTGAAATGGTGAATGGTGGTGAATCTTTGTAAGAAGGGGCAGTGGACGATGCCTTTTGCTTTTGTGGAACCTGATGTTCAAGAGAATCCAACAAAAAGACAGACACACCGAGAGACACCCCCTCACCCCACTGGCTGCGCAGTAAACTACTGTGGTTGGATGCCCATTGTGGTGTGTGGCTCTGCGTGTTCTTAGCGTGTGTGGAAGCCAGCGGGTGGTCCTCAAGCTATCCTGGGATGCACTCTGGACCAGGTGACTGATGCTTTTTTCCTGGCTTACCCCATAAGCACCTGTCCTTAGCCAAGGTTAGAATAACGAGACTCGTAAAGTTCTTACTCTGCTCAAACGACCCGTGCCCATTGAAGCACCATCAGAAGAACCTGACCACTTGCACCATGGCCGTGTCGCTCCACACCACGAGGGGGCGCCGATGAGGTCCCTCGTTCGGCCTCTGATTATCAGGACCGCGGGACTTCTAGCCACACCCCCACACTCCAATCCAGCCAATCCTAGAAGGTCCCGCCCCCTCCTGTTTCTGAGCTATCCAGCCACGAGTCAGGGGCGAGGCGTTTCCAGACCAGAGAAGCAGAACCTCGAGTCACGGATGCGGGACTCGCCCCCTTCCAGATCCCTCCGCTGGGTTGCAGTAGAGCCTCTGGTCTGGCTCCCAGCTGCCCGGCCCAAGTCCGGAGACTGAATAGCTGAGAGCCAATTCAGGCTTCCCCCACTCGCTCAAAAACGCGTTTATAATTGCTCTTTTCACGTTCACTGTTAGGTGCTGGCAAGAGACCCCCCTATCAAAGCAGAAACAAAATATTGGGAACTGATGTAATGAAAACTTCAATTTCGAGGGTCACTAAGTCTTGTTAAGAAAAATCACGAGCGGAGGTAAATTTTGGAGGCATTTAACAGGCAGTGTTAGTGCAAGATAAGGATGTAATAATCATTGGGAGATTTTTTAAATTTTATTTAATCCTTGCAACACTTTCTAATGCCTAAATCCAGAAGCTGATGAAGGTGGAATGGCTAAACAGATTCACTCAAGTGTTCATTTAATAAAGTTTTTTTTAAAAAACACTTAACTTTTTATTTTGATATAATTTCTAATAGAAAACTTGATAAAGTTGAAAATAGAAAAGATTTGTAGAATTCGGAATCCTTCTACCGGATCCCAAATATTAACTCTGAAGTGTTGTTTGGTTATGGGTTGTTTTCTTCCTTTTTAAAACTGGCATATGAGAATTCTACGCATTAGGACACACCCTGTGATAATTCAGTACATTCATACGATGTGTAATCATCACATAGGGGTAGTTAGCACTTTCATCACCGGAAACATTTATCATTTCTTTGTTCTTCTCTCTTCTAGCCCTTTATGAAGTCCAGATATTAACATTTTTAGCGCACTGGGCGCTTCTGTCTCCCTTCCTCCCTCACATGGTTCTGTGAATCATTAGACAGTGAGTTGTCAGAAACAGCATCTTTTCTCCATTCAGCACATACTTTCCTAAAACAAAACCACCGCACAGGGCCTGAAATCAAGAGATTAACATTAAGACGATGTTGTTTTCTCTCCTACAGACCTTATTCAGATTTTTCCAGTGGCTATTAATTTTTTTTTAACTGAAAGCAGCTCAGCTGGTATGTGATATGTGGTTGTCATGTCTGTTTAGTCTCCCTTAAATTGAAATCATTTCTTGGTTTTGCTTTGTCTTTCTCCACATTACTATTTCTGGAAAACACAAGCAAACTGGTAGAATGTCTCTGCGTTTGGGTTGGTCTGCCATTTTACCTTGATTAGATTCCAAATGTGCACATATTTTTTGTTATGAATATCATGGAAATATTGTGTCTTTCTCAGTCCTTTGCCTCGGGAGGCAGATGTCGATTGTTCCCATTGCTGGTGATAATGGCTTGCGTTATTTGTGAAGGTGATGTAAACACGTTGCAAAGCGGAAATGTGCTTAGCTAGTGGTTCCAAACTCCTGGTCTTAGGACTGACTACACTCTTTATTTGCTTGAGGCATTAGGACTAGACCCCTAGCATTTTATCGCTGCCCCCTAAATTATTGAGGCTTTCATGAGTGTTTACGCTAATTATATTAATATTTACTACATTAGACATTAAAACTGAAATTTTAAAATATCAATTTATTAGTTGAAAAATAACATGATAAACCCATTACTTTGTAATAATATTGTGTCTTATGAAAAATGCCTGTTTTTCAAAACCAAAAATATTTAATGGAACGCTATTATTTTACATTATTATAAATCTCTTTAATGCCTGGTTTAATAGCAGCTGGCGATGTGTGGTTGTGGCACATGCCTGTAGTTGCAACACTGGGGAGGCTGATGCAGGAAGATCACAAGTTCAAGGTCAGCTTGGGCTATGTAGCAAAACCCTATCTGAAGGGGAAAAAAAGCAGCTGGATGACTGCCATCTGTGCTTCT